TCTTGAGTCACCTTCACCCTGCCAGTTATGATCATTTGCAGTGAAATTGTTGAGCAGAGTCTGAATCTCAGTGTATGGCTTTTGCATGCAACTTCCTCCATAAGTTGAGTCTAGATTTAATTTGGAGGTCTCGTCTAATCCATCCACAAAAGTAAATCCCAACACCTCATCAGTCTGACAATGATGTGGGCAGTATTTGAGTAATTTCTTATATCTATCCCAAGCTTGACGAAGAGTCTCACTATCTCGTTGTTGAAACCCAAGAATCTGGCTCCTCAGTGCCTTTTTCTTCTTAGTGGGAAAAAACTTGACTAGGAATTTTTATGCCAGATCATCCAAGTATGGATCGAGTTTGCGGGCTCCTTGTTTAACCATTCCTTTGCTTCCCCCATTAGAGAAAAGGGAAACAATGTCAGTCTGACATAGTCCTTAGAGACATTCGGATAGGTGTATGTACCCGTTACAAGAAAATTTGTATATGCCTTTGGGGATCTTCACTTGACAACCCCATAAATAGTCCTCTGGATTGAATCAGCTGCACCATATAATGTTTCCGCTCAAAGTGCCCAGTTATATGAGGCTTCATGATAGCCTGATTCATGTTCGCGAGACTAGGCCTTGCAGCCTCAATCACTGGTCTTTCTTCATTTCCTGCCATCTCGATTGGCTGTGGTTGACTACAATACCCAACTCTGCAATTCTTGCTCTTCCTTCTGCCTCCCTCCTTAACCTGTGGAAGAGTCTTTCGGGTTCATTATCAGGAGGAGGAAGGTTGTTCAGACTATTGCTTCTTCTTAGCATTCAAGGTGAACACCTGTAGAGTCAGAAACAGTCAAACATATTAACACTTGAACAAAAACAAATAAGAGCTCGTTTCAGATAAATAACTAATTTCAAGTCCCCAATAACGGAGCCAAAAACTTATTGTGTCCAAACGCACACGCAAGTATACCCGATCGACAACTAATAAGGTGATAAGAAAGTGTCATTCCCATGAGGATTTATGATCAACTATTTTCCAACCAAATCTATTTATCTATTTGATGCTCAAGTGAGTGTGAGGAATATGATTATTATGTTTATAACTAAATTACTACGAATTAAACTACTAGGCAATCAAGAAAATAGAATTGCGAATAGAGCAAACAAACACTTAGGAAGAATTCAGTGAGATGGGGATATTCCAGGGTTATGGGATTAACATCTCTCCTATTGCATTTTTCGGGTTGATGTAATCACTTGACTTATCTAATTTGTTAATTAGCATGGTTTATTATGCTCGCGAAGTTCTTTCGACGCTTCGCTCGCCTATTCAAGCCAACCTGAGACTATATGTCTATACAATCAAACTTGACAAGAACACATGTATATTTCCTGCAAAAATAACCAAGTAAGGCAACTAGAATATGTCTACCCTAATCACGAATCTATTCTCCTATGCTCGGATTCAAGAACTTACTCTATTCAATCCTATATGCAATTTATAGTTCCCACTTTCGAGTTTAACATTCATAGATGGTACTCTATTGTTAGGTACGCAATAGAATAATTAAGTGCAAGATTGAATAAACAAATTAATATGATAAAATCAAGCAAAAAAATCAATCGTCAATTTACAATAGTCAAGAACGACCCATAACCCCAGAATAATAGGGTTCTTAGCCACTCATGTTCATAACAATATTCAAAATATTATTTTCAAACATAAAAGCTATCAATACTAGAAGAAGAATGGAAGAATTGATGAATTCCGTGCTCCCGAGCGTTTCGTACTTTTGTTCCTCTCAAAGTAGCGTCTCCCTTGCCAAAATAGGTTTAGGTTTGCTTTTATACGAGTTGAGAGTGTCTTGGGGTCGAAATAACTGAGTCCCGGGACAACTAAGACAGATTCACATCACTAGTGCCCAGGGTGGCGTGGGTTGCTACCCTGGCGCTGGACGGTTGGGACATTTTGTTTTGTGCGCCACAGGTAGCGCCCCACGCTGCCCGTGGCGCTACTCTGTGGATTTTTTCCTTTTCTTCCCCTTTTCGCTTCAATTCGCGAACCTTCATCCCAAATTGCATTTGGATAATTCCTACATGTAAAAATACCACAAATTAGCATAAACAATTACACTACACATCCGAAATCTATGAGACATGAGTAAAATGCGAGGCAATATGCATATTAATATACATACTTTAAGCCGAATATCAGATACATACACCTCATTTACACTAAGAGGAAGGTACGCCAGAATATGCGTCCAGGTTCCATTAGATATCCCAGTAACCACGAACGTCACCGTTGGAACCCACAACATCGCTCGTGTACGAAGGGGAAGCGATACTATGTATGGGATGTGGGAGAATTGGCCACATCCTGAGAAGCTGCGAGTTCATTTCTATCCCCACCAAAAAAACTGTCAAGCAACATCCATCACTGGCCCAGTAGCGAGGATACCACAGAGGACCAAACTTTTCAATGGCTCATTGTTCCTTTCACCAAATACAGACGCCATCCAAACAAGGGAGCACAAGCAAACACCCAGGTAAAGAGGTTCAATGCCTCCACAGGTACGTTCCTTGATCTCATCCAAAAAACAGCCATGGATTCCGGTGAAGGTTGCCCAAAAATAAGGGGGACAACAGATGCAATGGGGCCTAACGGGCAGCCGTCAAACCACACCAAACGGGGCAAAGGGGTGAGCCAGATATTGGGCCCGACTGACTATGGCCCATTTCCTACCAACGCCACGGGGAAAGCACGCGCCAGCCCACCCCAAAAATACTCTTGATTAAAAAGGCAATTACACGCCTCTGACCCAATGATGAAAGATTCATTTTTTGGGAAAATGCGATCCCCTATAAACCCTCCTAAAGCTACCTATCAGGCGAAGGGGAAAGGGTGGAGCCCATCCAAATTTTGGACAATGCTTCCCCCCTCCTCCCCCCCCCCCCCAAATCAAGTAATCTCACCAAGTCAGAAGGACTTCCTAATTTGGGTAATTATACTCTGACAAACCCAAATAAATTTGATAATGGGCCACCTCTCAAACTCAGCGACCAACCCAGCTCTATACAAAACCCACACTCCAATCGTACCCACACTCTCTCCTACTGCGCCTCTCTCAATAGAGGCAATCAATTGCCTAGGAAAAATCAACCACCACATCTCAGTCCTGCAGTGACGATGAGTGTCAATCCTTCAAGATCAAGCAAAGATCGCAAATGTCCCAGCGCGAATTCCAACAGCCACCAAACGTATTATAACCAAGCAGCTGAAGAGTTGCCTCTATTTACAAGCACAACCGATGACCTCTTGAAAAACATCTCTTAATGGCGAACCCAAACACCTCCAACACTCAACAGAACACTACCCCCTAACAATGTCAACCCTTCCACTACCACCGGTTTTGATGTCGGAATCTTGGCTGGAGATGGATCTGCAGGGCCACTCGCAGTCACTACAAATGATGGTTGGTCGAGTCCCAATATCCATCACCATCCAAGACCCACGATACCTAGCACGGCTAGCGACCCACCTTCTTCACCAAGGCTTGTCAAACTTCGGCCACCAACTTTGGTTGTCCACTCTCCTCTAAGCCCAATACATGGGCACCCAACAATCCTTATCTCTGGAGGAGCTCAATAACCTAATGGGGAAAATCTGTCAAATAATGCCTTTCCTACTATTCATGGACCTGAACACACCTCTCCCATCACTTGCTTTCACCATGTGGCCACAGATGAACCAGCACATTCCCCCACCAGTGACTCAGTCCATAGTAATGGACCAACTAATCAAAGAGAAGAACCAGACCCTATTGTACCTCAAAGAGTCCAACACATATCTAGAAAAAATCTTGGAAAAATTAGGAGTCCTAAAAACAAAAGTACTCCTCATGCAAGAAGCTTAGGTGATCGAGTTAATAGAGTCGTTCGAAGAAATGCTTATTGCTCTCTGCCCCAAAAAACTAACAAGTTACAAACTAAATCCCCATGTTCCCTCATCTCCAAACTTAGGGAACTTGGCAGTAGCCCTAAGCCCTGTGGTGGGAAGTGTGAAAGCAACCCTTGTGGGAAAGGGGAAGGGCCTCAAGAGGAAAGCCCCATTTCAAAACCCTTTACTGATGAACATCATAATATGGAATGCGAGGGGAGCCAACAGTGCTGAATTCCGCAAACACTATGGCTCCATGATCAAGCTACACAAACCTGCTCTCCTTGAGACAAGAATGGCTGACCATAGACTGCTGAGCTCTAGTTCACAGCTAAATTTCAATCCCTTGCTATTGGGAAATTCGGGGTAATTATTGTCATGTGGAAAGATGACCTAGTGAAGCTTGAAGAAGTCTGTACCACACCCCAGGGTGTTCATGTCATGGTTAAGGTAACCCCCGATGACTCTAAATGGCTTTTTTCTGCTATTTATGCTATTAGTCACCTTCATGATAAAATAAGATTATGGTAGTACTTTGAGGACATGGCCTCTGTTTATAAAGGTAGCTACCTTGTAGGAGGAGACTTCAATGAAGTCCTAAAAGTCAGGGACAAATTTGGGGGCAACTACATTAATAATAGTAGAACTAATGGATTTTGGAACTGTTTGAACCTATGTAGACTAGTTGAACTAGGCTTCAAGGGCTCTAAATACACTTGGTCTAATAAAAGATACACTAACACGCAAGACCTCATCCTAGAGAGGATGGATAGGTATTTTTCCACTGATGACTGGATTGAGTCATACCCGGAATCTTCAGTTACCCATCTCCCTAGGACCCACTCTGATCTCTGTCCATTACTCCTTAACATTACTAGTCAACAGTCCAATGATCATAGAAGGCCCTTTAGATTCGAGTCTATATGTGATGTCATCCTGATTTCCCCTCCATTGTTCAAAACAGCTTCCACTCCACAAATAATATGTTAGGTGACAACAACATTTTTAAGGCTAATATGACCACCTGGAATAGGCATGTCTTTGGAAACATCTTCCATAAGAAGAAGCATATTTTAGCTACACTACCACAAAATAGACCTTTAGCGACAATTTTGTAGGGGAAATAAAATAATTGCCGCTAAAGTATTCACGGAATACAATCTTTAGAGGCATATGACCATTTGTTGGGAAAGGCAAAAATAAATTAGTCAAACCTGGTCTCAAGAGTTTTACGGACAATTCAAAGTTATTAATCGCTATTAAAAGTTAGTAATTTTCGATCTGTTCTCCCTCCACAAAATTTCCTTGAAAAATTTTTCCCTCTTCCTCGATATATTCACCCACACTGAGTATAGCAGACCTCTTTTCCTCATATGTCGCTGCCGCCGAATCTCACTCTCAACATCACCAGCCACCATTACTGAGTAATTTCTCTGCTCTCTCTCTCTCTCTCTCTCTCTCTCTCTCTCTCTCTCTCTCTCCTATTTGGTTTTGTATATCTATCTCTCTCATTTTTTTTCCTTTCTAGTAACGCCGCAGGTACATGCGTTCTATATTTCGCCTTCTCCTCACTCAATTTGATTACTCTCATGTATGTCAATGTTTATCCTTCCACGCGTAATGATACTTTGCGTCATTGAGATAACGATAGCACTTAAATGTCAGCCTTCTTATTTTTTATTTTAAATCTTCAGTATCTTGCGAAAATGTGTCGTTAATTGCTGAGGTTTCTCTAGATCTAGTGTTTGTTACATTGTTTTCTCTGCTGATGAAATTTTCTCATTTCCTCCAATTTGTGGATTCATCTATGCATATCTGATCAAATTTTAGAATTATATGTAAACAGTACATAAGCTTTGTGGCTTATCAAAAATTAAAATTAAAAATAAAAAGTACCATAGGTGATATTTTGTAGTGCATTGATAATGCAGGTTATTGAGCTAGCTTATCAAATTTGGTGATTATTTTTACTTTTGTGCGAAAGTATTTTTAATTTATTATTATAATTGTAGAAAAGTAATGGTGATGGAGAAAATGATATTGAATATGAAAGTGATAAGGATATGTAATAGAAGTAAGATTTTCTGTAGTTGATAGATTTGTTCTTATTATGTTATAGCTTGTTAAGTAAATTGGGGAACTAGCATGTGTCGTAAACTCGACAATCAAATTAAAACTTGATAAGGAATAGTCTGTTGTGCTTATACCATGTTGCTATTGGAATTAAAATGAATTTGTGTTGAGTGAGCTGCTTTACTGAAGTTTTTTTATTAGGATGAGTATTTGTTTGCTCTTTGTTTGTCCACTGAACTAATAGTTAATCTTAGTCTTGGATCTACTTAGGGATTGAGTTTCAAAATGTACATTATCTTTTTTCTGCAGATCCTTCAGTGAAATATTATTGTATGGCGTATATTCTATTGAATGAACGATCTTAAGTTCATGTAATTAGGACCATAATTATATATAAAGTGCATAGGTTCTGACTATTGTTAAACTTTATTTACTTGACACTACATATCTGAATATCTGTTGATAAACTATAACTATCTTAATGACTTATGCAGGTTCTTGAAAATAGATAAGTACATAATTTTGGAGGACAAAATATGCGAATCAGAGTTGGTAGTAGATTGGTCACTGAAAAATATCACGATGAAGAAGTACAGTCCTATATTCAACAATTAATGCATGCTCAGAACTGCTCTCCAGCCCAAACTTACGATAATCAATCTAATATTTTGAACAATTCCGTTGGCACTGGAGCTAAGCATAACAATGAATTAGGTTCTATTTTGAAGTTTTAGTATTGAGTCCACTATTTTTTTTAGTATTGCTTTGCACTAATTGTAGGTTCTGCTAAAACAAGGAGTTGATTCTCCAGCTCACGACTATTTTCTTTGTGAATTTGCTTGCACTAGATCATGGACCTTTGAATCTGTTTCAGGTCCTTCAGAGGTAAGAAAAGTTCGTGGGCCTACACTACTAAAAGATGTTTGGAATCTACCATGAGGGAAGATAATTATTGTTCAGTTTAATAGTCGTAATCAAGCTATTGGAAAAAAGGGTCGAAAGCTTGTTAGATTTCTATGTATCATTGCTAGAACCCAAGAACTGACACTGTTAAATATAAATGATTGGCGAGTATTTGACAAAGAAAAAATTGGTGGAGTTTGTGAGGGTATGAAATTATTATTCTTAATATGTATCATTCTTTTTATACATGATATTGTCTTGTAAACTCGTGCTTTATTTTTTTTAGAAAAAGTTCTCGATTACAGTACGTGGAGAAGAGTTTGTAAAAAAGTCAGTAGGAAAAAATGGAAGGACTATAAATGTGATTTGAAGACTATGTATGTGACCAAGTATAAGAGCAAAGATGCCTTGATGAAATATAGACCAAGTCACATACCAAGGGATCAATGGACTAGTCTCGTCTTGCATTGGCTTACTGACAAAGCAAAGGTGAGTAAGTTTTTGTGTTGAACCTATATTTTATTACTCTTTGTCCTATTTTTCTTCTTTGAACCTTTTTGTGTTTATTCAAAGAACATATATTTAATAAGAATATTTTCTTGGTATTTATCAGTTATATTTCACCCACATTATACCAACCTAAATATTTTTAGAAAGTGCTGCAAACGTTGTGGCAGGTAGTTCGGAATATGAATTTTGCCTTTTAAATATAGTCCCTTGAGCACAATAAATGATTTGGTTATTATTTTATCTTATATGATTAAGTATTGTTAGTGAGTATTTTTTTGTTGCAATAACATAAGCTCAATCAAGCAAATAGAATTAGCAGGGCTAAACAAAAGATGCCTCACACTGGAGGATCCAAAAGCATAGCAACCTTGATGAATGAAAAAGGTATTAATATATAAATTACATACCATATGATTCTATAATTATTTTTTGTTATATCTAATTGTTTGGCATCCATTTAACTTATTAGGCTATAGATGGAATAGAGCCTACACGTGCTCCGATTTACATATTAACTCATACAAAGCGTAAGGATGGCAGACCATTGGATGAGAAATCTTCAAATACAGTTGTAAGATTTCTTATAAGTTGTATTTTTTAAGATTAAACATATGTACTAGCTCATGTCTAATGCATCATAATTTGGAGAGGCTTTAAATGATTGACTGATCCTTAAACTTTTATGTCTTTTCTTCCGGCTATATCTTTTCCATTTCCATATCTAATATATTTTCTTGCATTAGTTGCTGATATTAATACATGTTATATGAGAAACTGCATTAACTTTGCTAACTAACATTGACTTTTTCATATGTGCAAATGCTGGCTAGTTTGGTTTTAGAATATCTTATCTTATTGTTAGTTCGTTCTACATTGTATTGTGTCATAAATTGTTATCTCAATTACTGTCAGGACATGATAAAAGAGAAATGATAAATGAAAGGACGAACAATAGTGAGAGCTCTACTGACCAACCTCCTCGCAGTGTTGCTTGGGAAGGTGATGTGTATTCACAGGTGTTCGGATATGGGGTAGTAGATCTTCCTTAGAAAATATTGTTGTAGAGGATTCGTCTAATGAAGTTGTACAAAGATTAACACAAGAGATAACCGAGTTAAAGGATAAACACAATGAAGAAATGAATCTGATGAGACAAAATCAGGAGAAGATGCAATTAGAATTACTCCAAATGAGACAACTCATGCACAAATATGCTTCTAATGAATCTATGCCTCAAAATATTAATGGCGCATCAGTTGAATAGGTAACTCGATTTTATAAGTTATGGACATTCTTAATGAAGTTTTAATACTATAAAAGTATTTTTATCTAACGTGTTAATATTTATCAGGTCCTTGACGCCAATAGTGGCCATGAGCGAGTACCACAAACATCAAGGATACCTAGTGCTGCTAAAAATAATTCACTGTCTCATGGTACTACTCATCTTTATCCTTCGGCATGCTACTATTTGAGTTTTCTATTATTTGAATTTTCCTCCATATTTTTAATTATTGGAATCTTTTTGGATTCTCTTATCTTATCGAATATGGGATATTACACGTGTATCTTGATTATGGGGTTAATGTGGACTTTAATGCTATTAACGCCCTTATGCATGTTTAACTAATTTTTTGGGTTGACATATGTACTTATTGCAAAGTTAGAGTGTGCTAACAGCTATGCCAAAGCTTGGTCTTTATATGAGCATCCAACTTGAAAGCTTAGGACAGTAGGTTGACTGGTCGAGTAATTCAAGACCTTTGTAATTCCTTAGTGATAGCAAAGTTGACTTAAAAATTCATGTCTAATCCTTTGACCTGCACAACATCCTGGGAATATTTGGTGTTGGCAAGCATAGGTGATTGTTTCTCTGTGTGGTGTTGGCAAGTTTTAGTAGATGTTTTCTTTCAAATTTGGTATCTAATTATGATAAAGGACTTATCTGCTTTCTTACCTGAAGAATTGGGTGATTTATTGTCAGACTGCTAGGAATGAGTTACTTGTTACAACTACCGCTAACTATTGTGTCACTACTGCTACTTTTATTTTCACTATGCATTACTCATCATAGCTATTGTCATGTTCAGAATTATGTGATATTTCAAAGATGGCTAACATTATTGTAGTGTTATGAAGTGCTTAAATGGTTAAATATATGCTTTGGCTGATAAAAAGCAAAAATAACTCCTGCTAGTTTTTTCATGAGATGGTAACATATAAATTACTCCTGCTAGTTATTTTTCCATTATCACACAATGGTTACTTGGAATTGAGGATTATTGTATTTCATCTATTGACATAGTTACTTTATAATTTCAGGTCATACAGTCTGATGTTCGATAATTTAGCAGGTGGAAGATTTCAATATGACGAAGAGTTGCAGAAATTATTTGAAGATTGTTATTCGTTAAGATTAGTTATATAATAACATTAGCTATTTAGTTCAAACAAGTTAAGTTTATTTTTTAAGTTACTGTGATATTAATATTTTGGAAGTACTTCCTTTTGTTTGTTAAGATTTAACGAGATATATTATGGTTTGATGAATTAATATTGATATGTTTTGTTATTTGCATTATTTTTTGATTGAATGTAGTAGATATTATTAATGGTGGATAAACTTACCACTATAACTTGTGACTTTTAGCGTCAATTTAACAGGATATACCAGCTATAAAATGGACAATAAAAGGGAAAATAAAGGCGTTTATACAGGAATAATGTGGCCATTATATTTCTATTAAATATGAATTTTAGCGGCAATTTAATTAAGTTTATTAGCCATTAAAATAAACGCTAAAAGGGCATAATAATAAGTTTTTAGAAGAGATATTGTTGCCACAAAATAATTACCGCTAAAGGTATGGACTTTTAGCGTCAATTATTTTACCTTTTGCGGCTATAGAAATGGACGTTAAAGGATCATTATTAGCCATTTTTAGAATGGGTTTAGCAGCCATCATAATTGTCGCAAGCCGCTAAATCAAATGTGTTTTAGAGGCAATAAATCATACCCTTTACCAGCTTTTGTGAAAAACGCCGCTAAAGGCTTTACCGACCCCGACTTCAGCGGCTAAACACCAATTGTTGGTAAATGATATAGCGGCCATTGTTATTGCCGCCAATGGTATTTTTTATTGCCGCCAAAGGCCTTTTTTGTAGTAGTGCTAGGCTTTATGGCATCCAAAATTCTAATGCCTACCCTTTCAGCACCTACCTCTAGGACTTAGAGTCAAACCTCCAAGCTGGGTTCTCAGCTATCCTTAAGAATGATGAGGATTTTTGAAAGCTCAAATCCAGGATTAGCTGGTAGTGTGAAGGAGATGCCAACACTAGGTTCTTCCACATAACTACCCTTAATAGAAGAAGGAGAAATAGGATACTCAGCTTAACAACGAGGTAGGTAATCAAATCAAAGACCCCAACCTTATCAAAGAAACCACCAAAGGCTACTTTGCCAACCTTTTTACCACATCTCTTAACTTATCTTCCAACAACAGCTGCTGTAATGAAGACACTCCTCTAGTCCTTACTGATAGCATGAGAACATCCCTTGATCAACCTCTTAGGTACTCTAAAATCAAGAAGGCCATGGATTATTTCAAGCCCTTTAAGGCTCTTGGGCCTGATGGGCTGTACCTTTTCTTCTACCAAAAATACTGGAACATCTTATCTATCCTAGTTAACAACTTTTGACAGAAGGTATTCAACACCTCAACTATGCCTCCAGAAGTCAATAGGACCCTCCTGTGTTTGATCTCTAAATACCAAAGTGCTTCTATGCTTAAGAGCATTAGAAGGATTGGACTGTGCAACACCATGTATAAGCTTGTCACTAATATCATAGTGAACAGGATAAAGCCCTTACTCCAGACCATGATTGGGCCATCACAGGCCAGTTTCCTATCTAATAGAAGGGCTGCAGATAGTGCCATAATTGTTCAAGAATACATCACCCACTTCCAAAAGATGAAAGGTAAAAATGCCAACATGGTCCTAAAGATAGACTTAGAGAAAGCCTTTGATAGACTTGAGTGGTCTTTCATCAGGGACTCCCTAATGATCTTCAAGTTCCCACCTAAATTGATCAATCCGATCCTCTCATATATCTCCACTAGCTACATATCCATCCTAGTCAATGGGAGCTAAACTGAGCCTTTCAATCCTACTTGAGGAATCAGGCAGGGTAACCCCATCTCCCCTACCCATTCATTATTTGCATGAAAAGGATCTTAAGGAATATTTACCAAGCAGTCCTGAGAAAGGATTGGTTTTCAATCACCAACAGTAGGAATGGCCCAAAAATTTCCCATTGCTGATGATCTCACACTCTTTGGTAGAGTTAATAAGAAGAACTCTGATGCTATCCTGGCAATATTAGATGAGTTTAACATTGCCTCAAGCCAAAAGGTTAACTTTCAGAAATCCAAGGTTATCTTTTCAACCAATTGCAAAGAAGATTGGGCTAATAGTTGTAGCTCAATGCTAGAAATTAGGAAAAGCTGTGATTTTGGTAAGTATCTAGGTTTCCCCATTTTCCACAAAAGACCTACCAATAGAGACTTTCAATTCATTATTGATAGCATGGATACTAGATTGGCTGGCTGGAAAACAAAGATGTTAAACATGGCTGGCCGTATAACTTTGGCCAAAGCTAGCCTGGGAAGCATCCTCAGCCATGTGATGAACTATATAAAGTTACCCTCCCACATCACCAACCAGATAGATAAAATCCAAAGAAATTTTATATGGGGCACAACAACTGAGAAAAGGAAGTTGCACATGATCAAATGGGATACAATTACTAAACCAAAGAACGGGGGAGGGGGTTTGGGCCTTCAGCAAGCCCACATGAAAAACAAAACTAGCATGACTAGTCTATCTTGGAGATTATACCAGAACACTGACACTATGTGGGTTAGGGTCCTAATGGGGAAGCACTGTAGTGGTAACCAGGCTAGAGCTAAACCTAAGACTAGGACTTGGCAATGCATTCAAGAGGGTTGGAAGGTCTGTATCAAGGGCTCTAGATGAGTTGTTTATAAAGGGGATAGAGTCAAGGTTTATAAAGGGGATAGAGTCAACTTCCTTACTGACAACTGGTTCCCCAATATGCAGCCCCTCAACTCAATCCTCCATGATCCTTGGCACAGCTCTGACTTGACCATAAAGATTAGCTCCATCATCAACAATGGGGAATGGGACTTTGATGTTGTTCATTACCCCATCCCAGGGACATTAAGAGTGTTATTCACTCCACCTTCATTCCTATTTCTAGCAACTCTGAGGATAAACTTATCTGGAACCTCAATGGTAATGGGCTTTTTAGCTCCAAATCAGCCTACAACCTCATTAGTTCTGAGCTAAACCCCAGTATTAGCCAAGATGACTCTTTTGGCTGGATTTGGAAGCTAAAGGTCCCTAACAAGATAAAAAATTTCACTTGGATGATGCAACATAATAGACTTCCAACTGCCAAGCACCTAAACAGCCATAATATAAGACCAATATGTCATTCCTGCTCATCTGGAGTGGAAAACATAAATAACATTTTCTTTGAATGCACCAATGCCAGGGCATTCTGGCAGTCCCTGACCCTGGAGTGTACTAATTAGATCTGCCATCCACACCTTGTGTTTTCAACGGTTCACTGGGAGGAAACATGGCACAAGGTCAAGAACATGCAATTCAATAATGTTGTTGACCGGAAATCCCTTCTTCCTTTCTGTTTTTGGAGCCTATGGCTCACAAGAAACAATAATCTTTTTGAGAAGAAGAAGAATTTTACCCTTGTTAAACAAACCATTTCCAAAGCTACTGAATACTATCATGTAGTTGTCCACCACAGGGACAAAGGAGAAACCACTGTAATTCACATTAAATGGGATCCCCCACCTAATGGCTCCTATAAGTTAAACACTGATGGGGCTGCTTGCCCGGAATCAAGAGTAGGAGGGGTTGGGATGTCTTTTGGATAGCAGGGGTGACTGGGTGCTTGGATACATACGAGGCTTACCACATACCACCAGTATAGAGGCTGAACTTCATGCACTATGGCAAGGCTTCAAAATAGCCCTTGATCACAACTTTACACCTCTACAAATCTGCACTGATTCTGAATAAGTTGTAAGGATGCTAAATGAGGAAAACCTACATTAGAACTCTATTATCTTTGAATGTAGGTCATTGATGGAGCAAATGGGGAATCCAGTACTAGGACATAATTTTAGAGAGCTGAATCTGGTGGCGGACCTCCTCGCAAAGGAAGTAGCAGCAATGAAATTATTTGATAAGATAATTTTCAAGAGCTGAATCTGTTAGCGGACCTCCTCGTAAAAGAAAGAGCAACAATGAAGTTATATGATAAGACAAAATTTTTTACAGTTCCTCCGGTGTTTGTAAATAAGGTCCTCTGGGCATATATCCTAGGAACTATTTTTGTACGTAATACCAGTGGGAACCCCTTTATAACGCAAGACAATGACAACGCAACTCTCGAGAGCAGTAGCTCTCAAACAATGGTGTTACTATTTTTGTTATATTTATATAATTATCTAGTTTACCAAAAAAAAGAAAGAAGTTGTTTTTGCCTATTTCTGTGCATATTTCATCATCCCAAAACTCTATTTCTTACCCTTAGAGGGTGCGTTTAGTACGACGGAATATTTTTCGAAAAGTACTTTTGAAAAGAAACTTTGCCTTACCGTTGAACACTTTTAAAGTATATAAACTATTTCAAATAAATTATTTGAAAACAAAAACATACCTAAAAGATCTATTTTCTCATTTTAGTGAAATACTTTTTAAGAAAAAAATTCGGGATGCTTAGCTGCCAAAAGACCCTAGATAGGAGAGCATGGAGGTCAAGGATTAGGGTGAAATGTTAACAGGTAGTCGAGCATTCTCTCTCTTTTCTATGGGAGAGCATGGTTCTAGTTTAGAACACTTCATCTGCTCCTTCCTATCTCTCTTTATCAGTATTATGGTTATTTTTCTATTATTATCTTATTCTTCAGATATATTACTATTGTAGTATCTTTTACCTTGATAATCTTTACTATTTTGTTGCCAATACTTTTTTCTTTAGTATTTTCATTAATTTTAGGATTTTACCCTTGTATTTTTTTTTATTAAAAAAGATGTTTTGAAAACGTTCTTTCTTGAGCCGAGGGTCTAACGAAACAATTTCTCTATTTCAAACAAGGTAGGGGTAAGATCTGCGTTCTCAGACCCCTCTTGTGAAAACATACCGAGTATGGTATTGTTGTTGTTATTTGCCAAAAGTTGACTAATTATCTTAAAAGTATTTTTCTGGAAGATGTTCGTTTTTCACTTGCCTGGTGCTACTTATTTTCTGTTTGTTTGAATTCTCCAAGAAACGAAAAAGAATTGCATACTTCTTAAAAAAAGAAGTATGCAAGTCAAAGTCCAATTATTCAACAAAAAGTACGGAAGTTGTTAAAGAAACAGACAAATATGTAACAGAAATAATTTGAATCATCTTACTATTTGCTGATGCCAGAACTCCAAACTGGAATATTTATTAGGGAAACGACACAAGGTATATATAAATGC